AACACAACCCCTGCCACGCTTGACCACATTCCCCTGCCCCAGCTCTGTGTGAGCGTGGGTGCGTGCGCTTTACAATAAAGCAGTTTCCTCAAACAAGGCCTCCAAGTGTAATCATTCTCTTTTTGTGTTACGTGTTAAGACAGCTCTTTTTGCGTTCGCTCACTCATGTCCACCTGATTTAACTTGGTCTTAAAATGCCATAAATCTCCTGGAAGTGTTTAAGTTTGTTCTTTTGTGTGGATTTGGCCAGTATCTTTGTCCCCATGAAGAAGAGACTCTATGCTTCCATTTTCTTGACCCAGTATCAGGCAAGGGTCTGTTTACTTAGGTCTAAGGGTACTTAGGTTACTTTAATATTTTTGTTTTAGAGTTGACATAGGTGTTCCAATCATTTGTGGAGCTGCAGTAATGCAATTACATTAAAACAATGTAAAAAAGCCAGTGACTGTTCAAGACCTGTGAAGGGACAGTGTTCACAATCCTCAAAGGCACCAGCAGTGTCGACTTCTTGACAATTGACGCTCTTCAAAACCCATCATGAAGCATGAACCAGAGGTCACAGCTGGAAACCAAGAGGAAGTGTATTTAAATCTGACAATAGAAGGCGCTTCTTTATACAAAGGGGTGTAGGAGTATGGAACAAGCTATGCAGCTACCCATTGTTGAAACCCTGGCTTCTTTCAAGAAGGCTGGATGGAACCCCTTGAACAATTAGCTAGTAATTACCAAACGAGGGAAATGGGCCTCCTGTTGTTTCTTACCTTTCTTGTCTTCTCATGGCTGGAAACAGGGGCATTGTTAGATCCACCCGTTTCTCACCGCTTTATTCAGTACAGGGCCGCGGAGGAGCTGGAACCTCTCCTCCTGGGGAAGCTGAGGTTGCTGCTGGAAGAGGTGTTAGTGGGACCAGTAGGGGGCGCTCACCCTGCAGCCTGTGTGGGTCCTAATGCACTGGTACACTATAGTGACGGGTTTGATTATTATTATAGTATCCCAGCAAGCAATGGGCGCAAGGCTGGATACACCCCGGATGGGCACACACAAACACAGACACGCACACACTCATACCAGGGCCCGTCTTGCCCATAAGCCAATTAACGCACCAGGATGTCTTGGAACTGTGGGAGGAAATCGGGAGGAAACCCATGTGACCAAGGAGAGAACATTCCAACTCCACACAGACAGCACCCCTGGGCTGGAGCTGAACACGGCACCGTAGCTCTTCGAGACAGCCACGCCGACCCCTGCACTGCTGCGCTGTCCCAATGTTATCCAAGATTTCTATCCAAGATTTCAAGGGCTGTGAAGATTAAAGATCTCTCCAAGCCCATTGTTTCTCATTTCACCTCTGACGGCCACGACCACACTAATCTCTCCGTCTGTGTTCTCAAAGACGGTTTTCCGAACTCATACATCAGAAAGACCACCGAAACTAAAATTATTCTGCAGCTAGGATCACACATTCTCCCTTCCCTTAACGACAGACTACTGTTCTTTTAAATTTTCTCCATTCGTTGGAAGTTTCATTTCACACCTCTCTGCACCCATTCTGACTTCACACCTCTTAATTGGCCTCTCTTTCTGTCCCCTGCTCCCGCCTCTCACTCCTCCTCCCTCCCAACCTTTGTTCTCCCGCTACTTTACCTTTGCCTACTGCCCTGTCTCTCTCACACCTGAAGAAGGCTCCACGGCCGAAACGTTGTGTTCTCTTTCTTCTTTTTTTCAGCATGGAATAAACCTATTACTTGTTCCTTTGCAGCCTACGCATGCTGACGCAGCTCCCCACCTGAACTACAAGATTTCTAAATTATGTGTATCTTATTTCCAGCTACCAGAGTGGAACCAAAGTATAATTGTTTACCCGCATTCATGTATTTAAGTGAGGATTAAAAGCTCATGGACTCTTCCTTTGTAATCATCAGTACACTGTGGCTCTTCCATCCAAGAGAAACTCTTGCAGGCGGTGCCCGGGTGGATGTACTGCATGTGCAACACAGGTGCACGTTTAAAGCTGAGTGACATCTCTGTGGAAAGTTCCTTTCACGGTCGTAAGCTGGTGAAAACAAACCTCACTGGCAGCTTTTCTGCGGTATTTGTTCCTTCCTTTGATTCTTGAGCCCGCTGGACACACGCTGCTTCTGTGGCAACTGAGCGCAGCAGGAGGCCTGGCTACCCATGAGATAAATGCCAAAGCGAGCCGAAACACTCGAGGCTAACCGGCATTTATTTCAAAGGGGTGTAGTCTTCCCAGCTCCTTTTTTATTGTTTTCCCCCAAAAAATCTCTCCTTGATGTCTTGTTTCTGTTTCTCTGACGTTTGCATTTGGCTCCTTTTTGGTGCGACTTTAAAACGCACCTCAGAGGAGCCCAGCTCAGAGCCACAGAGACAGCTCCTCAGGAGAACGAATCCAGTGGCTCATGATTCAGGATCACCAGCCCTCCTCACTGTCAGTCCTGCTGGCTTTGTCCCTGTCTGTGCGCTGGCGATGACGCCTGTCTCACTCACACGCGGAAGGTACTGTATTTTTTTCTCTACGGCTGTCCTGCCCCAGCCCTCGATCTGATTGATTGGCTCTTTGTTTATCTTGGCTCTGTGAAAGTGATCAATGCCACTTTTAATTAAGACGACTTAATTCACCCTTTTGGTGGTCAGAACAGTAGAATGGAACTGTCGGGCCCCTGTCCATCTGTTTGGAAATGCGTCTCTCAATTGCACAGAGTCTATCCAGCACGTCGGGAGAGTCTGAAAGACTGGTTCCCCAGCTGCCATTAGAAGCAATGAGATGCAGACTTGAAGTCCCTCTGAGTCCAGGGAGTGTTATGAAAAAACTTTCGATTCTCTCTGACACCATCTGTTTGAATTACGGACAGAGAGAAGCTGTCCTGCTTGGATCACTCTCAAGAGCAAGCAGAGATGAGCAAGAGGCTGTTTTCAGTCAAGAGCACAGTAATAAAACAATGATAAAGATCTGATGTTGTTCTTGTGCACCAGTCTTTTCCTGCTGTGCAATGTTTAGATTGTTTAACAGTTTATGAATCATGCTAAAGAAATCACCCAGTCTCAGAAAATCCCTGTATCTCTTGTGCTTAAAAGTAAACTCTCACACACAACCCTCATTATTTACAATAAAAAATACAGAGCATTTACATCTTTTAATTCCATCCTTGGTCAAATACGAATCTTATTAGTTTGTATTTTGCATCAGTTATTAAAGAAATAATGCAAATATGTTAAAAATGATATTTCTTAACAGATCAAACTCAAGTCTACTAATACAGTATGTCCAAATAACTAAGGAGAACCTGAGAATAAAGGTATTGTGACACATATTTCTATTTGCTGCTTTGCACAGGAGGTTTCAAAACATGTCTCCAGCAGTTTGAAAGTATAACTGTTTATATACAGTATAATGAACCATCTGTATATAGATATAGGTATTACTTTTGTGATTGTAGTATTTGGAAGTGTACAGAAACAATAGAATTAGTATGTAAAGTTACATTTAATGAAAAATCTTTACAGGAAAAGTTGTGGGGGTCTGGAACAGGCTGTACAGTCTTGTAGTTGTTGCTGATACTTCTGCTTCTTTCAAGAAGCAGCTGGATGAGATCAATTGACTGCTAACTAGTGAATGGGCTGGGTTGGCCACATGCCTGTCTCATTCGTCACCTGTCATATGTTCTTGTGTGTCGTGTGTATGGTGTCTTCAGTGACGTAAGAGATGTGTTTCTCCGTGGAGTCGGTCTCACAAATGTACTCCTTGCAGTGTCCTCACTTGAAACACAGGACACACTGTTTCTCCCCAGCACTACGGCTCTCATCTGTGATGGACATGCTTGCACAGCAAAGACGCCACAGGGCCAAGCCAAAATCAGATTCTTCGACTCAGCAGGCATTGGATATTGACACAAGGCATTAAGATTTGGGACTAATCCTAAGGCTACCACTTCTTAAAAGCAACATAATCAGAAAATCACCCAGCTTTTCCAGATCCTGCTTACTTATTGATTAGCCTTGCAGGGAATTTCCTCCAGAAACAAAAATCTGTTTTGCTTTCTGATTCTTGGCATTTGAAAATTAGTTTTTGGTTGTTTTCACACAATTCCTCTAACTGGTCCTCTAACATTTCCTCTTAACTGGTTTATAAAATCACATATTGCTTTGGACCAATCAACACAACTAGATAGCATGTAGGATACACTCTACAAATATTATGGTATTTCTCCAAATTCCTTATGTATGGAAATTAGCGCACTTTGCAATTCACACACAATACATGTACTATAAAGGTACAACAATGTTGAACTTAGTGTTACTGGATTTCTCTTTATACTTTTATTCAAGCCTGCAATATAGTATGAAAATAACGCCATCATTAGAGAGTACACTGCCAGTGAAATTTCAGATAGAGAGACAGGCATCTCTGATACATTTATTCTGACACTCATGTTCCACAGTGCTGCGTGAAGATCATTCCAGATTGTTTTCCTGCTCAGATAAGGGGCTGAACGATGTTTGTCAGAGTGCAGCATTAATTTCTGTAACCTGAATGTCTGGCCAAGCTGTGTTGATATCCTAGTCTCTGCAGAGATGGTTGCTTTAAGAGCTCTGTCTCTCTTGCTTCAACTGGTGACAGTCTACAGGTTAATTTAGAGTTTCTGTACTTCTCTGCTGCATGTTCATGACCTGATGGCTTTCTGGATTGTGATCCAGCAGAGCAGTTGGTGACTTGATCAGAGTCACCTTTATGTACTGTAATTACCTCAGCTAAGAGCTCAATTCAAAGACTGAAGGACTGGGAAACAGAACAGCAAGGGCTTTTATTTTTGTGCAAGGATTGTTTTGGAACATGTGCCAGAACTTATTGGAGGATGGGAAAAGTGGGGCACATCCTGCTCTGCAGCGAAACAGAGGCTTGGGAGAGGGCCGGTTGGCATCGCTGTGCCCCCCGGTGGGGCCGAGGAGCCGGGCGGAAACTGACTCTGGATTTTCTCCTGCAGGGTGTACGACTACCAGCGCGTCCCGGCGTCCCTGCCCCCCGCCCCCCGCGGCCCCAGCCTGCCCAAGCGCTCGCGCCAGTGCTCGTCCAGCCTGCGGAGGAGCAGGGACAGCCTGGCGCCCAGGAGCGGCAGCCGGCCCAGCAGCTCCTCCGGCAACGCGACCAGAGCCAAGTGTGAGGGGGACGGGGGAGAGCAGGCGGGGGGAGGGGGTCAGTCTCACTGTGAGCTGTGTGTGTAGCTACAGTAGGCCAGCTCATGGAAAGCAGGTACGAAATGGCACCACAATGGCAGAACTCCAATGTCAGACACTTGCAAAATTAGAATTGCCCTTGACAGCTGTAAGACATGTTTGGAGTGCTTGGCAAGCATTCTGCAAGTGCAAGGTGCTGACAGTCCGGTCAATTTATTAACAGTTATACCGCTAACAAAGCACAGGCAGAGACGTATTTAAGCTGTCTACACCTAATTGACAAGACTACACAAAAAGAACCACAGGTGTTGAGGGTTCACTTAGGTGAAAGGATTATATTTGAGGGCTGTTATACGCACAGTTACACACACACCATCACAGCTGTCTTCTCACTGGCTGCAGTGAGACCGTGAGCGTGGGGTGTCAGTGCTGGCTCTCTGCGACTAGTTTGTCTTTTTTGTTGTACAGAGTAAGGACACTGGTTCACCTTTTGCTTGGGGACACAGCAAAATGACAATGGTGCCGCAGATGCCAGTGAAATCATGAGGCTGTAGTTGTAGGGGTAGATGAGGTCAGTGCTGTGTTCTGCCAGGAGGTCTGTCTGCTGGCCTTGACCGCTGGGCTCCCACCTCCGTGCCTGGACAGTGCACTGTGCCCACTCTCATCTGCGCAGAGGGCGATCGCGCTGAGTGATGAGCCTCACATAACGGGAAGCTCTGCACAGTATCACAAGGGCTCTCATCACCTGTCACCTGTCTCCTCGGTGTGAAGTGACAAGAGTGCTAATGTATTGGTGGAGCAGAGAGCTCTTGTGTCTGAGGCCGTAGGTGCCAGGGATATTGAGGGAGTTGTAATCACTTAGACTGCAGAAAGTTGGCTTGCAGTGGAGTTCCAGGGATTTGATTGCCTGATGGCTGTGTGTGTCGTGCCTTTCTCCCTCCCTCGGTAATGGGGCGCTTCTCTGGGAGCACTGTAGTAACAGCTCCAGGGCACAGCGAGAGGCACCAGATGGTACCTTCATTAAAAGCTTCTCTACTGCAGGCCGTTTTTTTTCCAATCGTGCAGAGCCTATCAGGGCATGCAATTATACCAAATTAATAGTGCATAACAAATAAGAATTGTTTATACGGGTTTATTATGAACCTTAATAGTTTTTACTGCCAGCACATGGGAGCCGAATTAGTTTGCCTTTTGTTGCTCAGAGGTCAAAAGCTTCCAATCACATTTTATGGATTTTTTTCCGTCTCTTTCTCTACAGTAAACGTGACAGGGCAGGCAAGCTAAATGCAGAATTAAATGCAGGTCGGTTGAGCTGTGAATACCATGTGCTCTATTGTGTGTTCAGGAGGCAGTTCTGAGGAGCTGAGAATGGGCTGTTTGAAACCCGTTGTCTGTCTGGGCGGTAGAGAAGCTCTTGCCGAAGGGTGTCATTATTTTGAAGTGATGGGATTGTTATTTTCTTGTCGGCAGCCGGAGCCTGCAGTACTCTTCCGAGTCTGTGGGTTCTGTTTCCCTGAGTGGCAGCTGTAAGGTTAAGGTGACAGTCCTGCGCAGGTGAGGAGGGGGTGAGTTAAGGCAGAACCTTCGAGGGGAGCTGCCGAAGAGCTGATACTGGAAGCTCCTGAGCGCTTGTTAGGAAAGGAAGGGGGCAGAACTGGGAAAGGATGGGAGCCCTTAGCCCTCAGTGCCGTGGCCGAACCTCTCTCTTTCTCTCTCTCTCTCTTGCGAAGCAGTGAAGGCTGAGGAGCTGCGCACGATAAAGCGGGAGCTGACCTTGATCAAAGTGCAGATCGACGGCCTGCTGGAGAGCCTGGACAGGATGGACAGGCAGAGGGGCGATCGCACAGGTGGGGCCTTCGGTTTCACGCCCCTCGCCAGAATAAACTAAAAGTATTGACCCGCAGACTGCAGCCCAGGTGCCGTCCTGATGGCAGCCTTGCAGCTGGTGGGAGCAGGAATCATCGGACAGACGACAAGCTTCTGTCAGGAAGTACCTGGGTTTGACAAGGCCAATAGTGCTTAAGGCAGAACTTGTGACTCAGTTGAGGTCCTAGTGTGTAAACTGTCATGGGTGACCTGGGTGTCTCAGACCAACAGCATTCATGTCTGAAGGGAGGCTTGGCCACAGGGGAGGGCTGCAGCGTTTGTGAGTTTTTATTCCATCTCTGTGTCTGATGACCTCGTTGTGCTGATCATTACTTTGAGTGGCCCAATTTAACAATTTGCAAAAGGCCTCAGCTGTTGCCGATTTCAAGACGCACAGAAAGCCTGCTGGAGTCCGGATTGCTGGATTGGTTGCTGTGCACCTGCACTGTGGCGAGACAGTTATAACGTCAGCATCTGTGCTGACCTGTGGCTTCGATCTGAAGTGGCTCTGTCTTGTTTCGCTCATCCCTGCACCTGGGAACTTTCCATTTCTTTGTTGTTATTGTCATGCTTCTTCTTTTCGAATTTCCACATTCATTTATTTCCTCTGCAGCTCTCCTTAATTACACCCGCCTTTCAATACCCAAGCAATCGATTCTCTGTGATACCACCATTGATGGACAATCAATGTTGTGAATCAGATTGCCAGCTTACATTTTAATGACCTCAAGAAACAAATGTGAGTCTAGACAAAGGACTGGGACCTACTAGTATTGCCATCACTGGGGCTGCATTTAGAAGGAACAATCCAAAATCTTTTTGAAACAGAATGCTTTGAAATGTGTTAAGTATTAACATCCTAAGTGGTTCAACAGGTAAAACTCTAGCAAGCTAGTATAGCAGTTAGAGCTCTATGATTGTGGACTCGAGCCTGTGTGGTGTCAGAAACCACATGTAGGGCAGTGCTGTCTGTGAGGGGCATGTCTCTCTCCTCTGGTCACAATGTGAGTGGCTTGAAGGTGGGGGGTCAGAGGAGTCTGACTAAGGTGCTGGTGTGGTTGATTAGCTGGATTCATAAATAAATTAAACATTTTAACAATAAAATAATAATTTAATTAATAAAATAAAAATGCATCTTTGCTTTTGCAAATGCATTACTGTTGAAACACTGTGTGAAATGAGGACTGGTGGATTAATACACATACTGTAAACCTTGTGCTGATTATAATTGCACTGCAGAGTCTATCTGAAATCGATTGTTTTTGTGGATCATGTTATTTGCCACACATATTCATTTTTCTTTGATTTTTTCCAAGGGTGTAGACATTGTTGTGCAATGTGCATCGAAACATTTCTAAATAGTGCTGGAAATATTTATATAAACAAAATAAAAAATGAGTACCGAATGCACATTTCACATTATTTATAGAAAAATCAAATTTACCTAGTACTGTACATGACCATTCTGACTTTCTGCAGTGTCATTGGCTGTCAGTTGGCCATCAGGGACATTGCCTCCAGCCCTGTGTAAGCAGAGGCAGTGACAACCCTGGAGCGTTTTAATGCCTTTGCTGAGGCGAGGAAGTTTTTTATACCCACAATTTCCTCTGTTTCCATACTTGTTTCTAATACTGAATGTGCCCTGCATATACCTTTCAGCATGCCCGCTGTGTGGACTGCAGCTGCAACCTGTAGCTTAGCTTCTCCGGCTCTGAACCGGCGTGTTGAGTCACATGTCACACGCGGTGTTGTTCTTGGCGTCTTGCACGGTCGCGTTGCCCAGGGAACCCCTCTCTCTAACGGCCGGCCTCTCTCCTGCCAGGATCCCCCCCGGTCAGGGACGACAGCACTGGGGGCTCCCCCTGCCGCCTCTCGGCCAGCAGCCCCGAGGGCTCTCAGGGCAGCCACAGCCCACACCGCCGGGCCCGGAGGGAGAGAGTGGGGGACGAGAGCCCCGAGCTGGGAGAGGCCAGCGAGGATGACCGGCACACGGTAACCATAGCAACCGCGCCCCTGCCTGGGGGCCTCGTACCTCAGGAAAACACAGCTTCCCAAAGAGCCAGACTGGGAGGAGGACGTCCTCCTCTTGAGAGCCCACGTCAGAATTCCTGTCGCGTTATTTTCACATCCTCCGCATCCCCCGATTTCATAAAAAAAAACTCTTTTCACGTTGTCCTGACGCCGCTCCTCGTGAGAGGTTGCCACATTTCTGTTTGGCTTTTCTCCGGCTTGTCCGATGAATGTAAGCTGCTCTTCCCTGGAATTAGCAGGTCTCTGTGAGCTTCCTCATGCCTTCGCTGCACCTTATGTGAAGGGGATGGGGGAGTGTAGCTGTTAACGCTGCTGACTCACAGGTCATGATTCCCGGGTTATATTCTGAGCTCTGTACTCTCGGTGTGGAGTTTGCATGTTGTCGCTGTGATCACCCCACCTCCCAGAGACATGCAGGTTATGTTTTCATTGACTATTTATGCTGTGCCCTGCCCCTCCAGGGCTAATCCTCTGGTCCCAGATCGTCACCCGGACTTCTCGTGGTATGCTATCTCCCGGTCACAGCAGGCCAGAGACCAGCTGTCCTTTATTACACTTAGCTAGGCTTTTAATGAAGTATACCACGATAAAGGTTCAATAAAGTTTCAGAAACAGCTTCACCCACGCTGCAGGCCCTTGACGTTTCTAACTTAAATCTGTTATTTTCTTCCCCATTTAGACATAAAACAAATGTGGCTAAGCTGCGGAGGTAAATGGGTTTGAACATTCTCCCCAGATGTGTGCTAAAGCAGAGATAAGCTTAATAAGGAGACACAGCAGTTTGGTAAATTACACTGAAAAACTTGTATATCAAGTTCCAGTGTTGCTGAACAGGCATTACTTTTTTCAAAGAAGCTGTTTTTTTTCCCCTTTACTTAGACACTTCATTAGGCACAGAGAAATACATGTGCATACTATACAGACACACTGCATGTTCCTGGTATAAATGCAAAACACAACACAGTGCTCCCCTGGCTGCAACAACATGAACGCACACACATGCACAAACACCCATATTCACTCATACCAGACACACTCATGTTTCTGTGCGTTGTTCTTGTTCTCTCTCTGTCTCACACACACGCTGGTAATGAGATGGAGTTTTTCTCTGGGGTTGTCCTAGAGTAACAGGATCTAATCTAGCCTTGTTCCAGACCAGCGAAGTGAGAACTGTCTTGTGAGACACTGAGAGAAAAGAAGAAAATAAAAGGAATAAACAACAAAAGCAAGCATTTTTCTTGTCAGGCTGGGGGTGAGAGAGAGAAGGAGGGGGGGTTATATATAGAGTGTTATTATTCCCTGAAACAGGAGGGTAATTATCTGTAATTACTTTCAAGTGTGTGCCTACCTGGGTGACACATTAAGTACCTTCCATTACAACTATCTCTCTGAACAAAGCAAGGCATCAATTACCCTGCTGAACTGCTGTGTGCTACCTGAATTGGGGTTCCCAGTCAGCTCTCACTAATATGGGGGCCTATTGTTTAACTGGAGGATGCCAGTGGATTTATACTGAGCAAGGAGAAAGTGCTCTACAGGAATGAGTCAAAACAGTAACAAGTCTACCATCCCCTTTTCTCCTGCTCGGATCCAGGTTCCTTTTTCTTGTGCTGAAAATGATCATAGAGAATGCTCATCCCTTTATGAAGCTCCTCCAAGAGTGCACTAGACCCCAGTCATTCTGGGAGACTGGAGAATTCCGCCTGGAACTACGGGAAATCCAATTTTACCTCTGCGCTTTCACAAGACTGCGTGTTGTCATGCATGAGTAAGATACAGAGAGTGGCGCAAGAGCACTGTCTCTATTAGTAGTGCACAGTCATGGAGCCATCAGCACATGCCATGATCTCCATTCATACTGTACTCGCTGCTGTCAGTCTGGAGATGAACCTGTCCGAACGCACACTGACTCTCCTGCCCTCAGTATCCCACTGGCCTCTTTCCTCCTACCTTGTGCCAGTCATGTGTTCCCCAGCTTTTCGAACCCATGGTCACGGGCGCAGTGACACGTGAACACTGCCACAATCACACGCACACCTGCATGTCTGCACATGATTGTAACATTTCATTTTCAAATCATTTTTACTTAAAATTAGTGAATATACTGTATATGTCTGGGGAAATAGTGGAATCTGCGTCATTTCTTGATTCTAGAATCGCCCATTATTTTTTTGTCATATGCTTCTGGTGACCTAGCACAAGCTGAATGGATTTCGTTAATTGCTTGTTTTTCAAGGGAAGTGAATTAAGTGATTTTCACTGATAATTTGGTAATGTATACTTATGGGGAAATTTGCAATCAGTGGTATTGAAAATGAGCATTTCATTGGCTCATCGTGAATATGGGATGCTGGACTGTTTGCGGTACACTAATTCATGATGTTCTGGCAGGACAATGGATATTTTCAAAAATGTCCTGTGCAGTATAAGAACGAAACCAAGTGCGCTGTCTGTTTGCGGAGAGGTCCAGGCAGGGCTGACTGCAATGTGTTTGTTCTCCACACAGATTAACAATCACAGCTCTGACCTGGAGGACGACATGTGAGGAGACTGAGAGCAGGTACAGCACAGAGCGCCCCACTAACAACACAGCCCTCACGCCTCTCAGGAACTATTGCGATCTTCCTGAAACTGGTCAGGCCTGGTCTAGCCTAAGAGTCCAGGATGAGCAGAGCTTCAGAGCTCTGGGCCTAGACTGGGTTAAGGAGTAACTGAGTCATTTCAAGGTTGAGAAGTTTTGAATCTGGCCAGAGTAGTTTTGAATGGTGCAGGAACAGTGGTCAAAATAGTTTGCCATGCACTGTGAGCTTGCTGTGTTATTAATGAGATCTGTGATGGACTGGTGTCCCATCCAGGGTGTAGTCCCACTTGGCAACCTGTGCATCTAGGAAAGCCTCTGAGCTGCTCCAGCCCTCACCAACAGTAAGTGGCCATTGGATCAGTCCTCCATCTGATGCTTTAGCTCTGCTGTTGGCACAGTGTGAAAAGATGCAGACAGTCACATGTTTTGGAGAGTGTGTCTTCATCTTCAAAAGTATGGACAAACCATAGAGCACACTGAGCAGGCCTGTGGGAAGAGTAAACTTACAGTAATCACCCGACCTTAACACAACGGACTTACCGGAGATAGAATACTGCAGTTTTAAAGACACTAGTCACTTACTGATCCATTTGGAAGGACCTTGCTGTAAAGAGTTAGAGGGGCTAGCTACAGTACGTGAAGACCTGGATTGACTTAAAAAAACAGAGTTCTGAGCTGATGCATAAACAGAGTATGCATGAACTCACTGATGAACTTCGTATTGATTTCGTGTATCTTCATAGGACTGTGAGCATCGGAGCGAGGACAAGAGAATTCTCATTGTAATTGCTGTCCAACAGCACATGCACAGCTGTATGCAGTGGAAATCAGTCTGCGGGCAGGTGTTGACGCGGCTTGTTTTGCAGGTGAGACAGGAGTCCAGCTCCAGTGCAGAGGGAGAGAGCACTATACGTGGGGGTGACCCCTCCCCTCCCTCCCATACCACCAGCCCAGCAGCCCTGCGCCAGAGGACCCGCCTCCCTCCCCCAATGTCAGCTCCTCCACTGTGGACAGCCTTGGACCTGCTCACAGTATCGCCTCCGAAACAGCGTCCACAGTCTTTCGGTTTCCTCGCAGTCTCTGCTCTCGGTTTGTGCAGCCTCGCCCGGGGCCAGCAGGTCCCAGCTTCATGAGCACAGCACGCAGGCCAGGTTTCGGAAGGGCAAGATTTTCTTTGTCACTGCTCTTTTATTTACAGAGTCTTGGCAGTGCAGTTCTAGAGCTGTGGTCCTCTGTTCCGCTTTCAGCCAGGACCAGGAGAAGCATAAGCATAACTGGTGCAGGAAAATCACGGAGAACAGTAGAAAAAATAAACCTCAAAAATAAGATTGTAGTTATTCTTCAGGACCAGGGTTGTAGGCCCCCTGTTGTGTCAGTCCCCCAATAAAACTGACCTCCTATACAAACTTTGCTTTGCTTCAAAACGCTCTCAGCACCCTGTGCATGGTTCACATATTCTTTCCTATGATAAGAGTATGCAGAAAATCACATTCTAATGATAAATTAGTCAGAAAAACCATTAGCACCTATAAATGAAAAAGCAAAATGACATTTAGCAATACTTGCTTTTTTACCTGCAGACAAAACTTGCCCTTTCCCCAAATCAAGTGTGTAATCTGTCAGCCTGGTCTAAATTAAAAATTCCAATTGTTTTTTTTTTCAAATGACGTTCAGAAATCCGATTGCCTAATGCAGCACTTCGCCCTTTGTGCTCTGATGTAGCTAGAACAATTTAGATGCACCACCAGTGTTTCCCTGTGCTGCTTTTATCAGCTCCATCCACCCACATTAGTGTCGTCAGAGAAGACCTTGACAGTGTGACAACAGCTGTCGACACGTCGCTGTCGTGAAGCTGGTAATCAGATTGCTTCTGAATGCATGCCTGCTGGGATCAACAAAGTTTCCCGTTATTTAGTATATAAATACAGCACCTTGTTGCTATGTGCTTTATTGTTCACATTAATTTTGTGGAGCTCAGATATGAAGATACCTTTTGTTAATGACTGGGCTGTTCCAGTAGATTACACTGCAACGTGTATTAAGCACCTGCATTAGCACCATGAAACCCAAACCAGGCTTAGATTTGATGAAAACTCAGGTGACAGCATACATTACATAGAGGTGAGTATGTTTGTCACTGTTCATTTGTTCAGGCTCAATGAATACAAGGTATAGCAATAAGAGCATCAAGGCTGAGAGTCATTCCAGGCTTTTAATGATCTTAATGAGATCCTTTTCAAACAGGGAACTGCGCAATTCTCAGTATGTTATTAAGATTTTATTTTAAGTCTGGGATGTCTGTCAGTGTTACCCAGTGGGACTGTTGTTTTCTTTTCTGAATACTCAAAGCTTCTACTCATTCTGTTCTTCTTAAATATGTATATATTTGACAGATCTCTGAACGTCTTGTAACAGTACTTCATAATAAGAGTTATGATTAAGAACCAGCCTAGCTGCAGGCTTTCCGAACTGGTACTAGTTCCTCTTAGAACAAGAACCAGCTGTGCTCATGTTCAGAATGGTAATTTCCTGTAGATATCTGGCATCAGGCAGGTGTATTGGGCTGCTTTTCACATGCTGACAAGCATATATTCCACTCACGTTTGATTTCAGCCTGATACCTGATGGCATCTGGGCTGTGCTACAGCATCTTGAGTCGTGACCAGAGAGACCACTCTCTCCTGGAAAATACACTTGAGGACTCCTGTGAGCAGTTGTTCCTGCTAGCCATTCTGTGAAACAGGCTGCTGTACCACAAAGTGATGCTTGCTCAAGAGGATGCAGACAGTGGGTGCAATGGCTTTTAACATGTTGTTGTCAGCTGCCTCCTAAAGATGTAAAATGAAACCCCACCTTTCCTAAAACAAAAGAGAGCCTGCCCTGCCACAGCAGATCCAGTATATATTGTACATGCAGAAGTATCAGTGAGAGGGCTGTTCAGAGTCTGGTGCATTGCACTTGTAGACTAAATAAGAGTCTACAAGATCTTGGAGAGACGAGTTTGCAGTACATCTGATGATGTGTGGTCACACCAGACGGGCTGTCTGTCCAATGGTGGGAGGCCTTTCTGCAGTACATGCACATACTGTATGCCTCTAGAATGAAGATGTACAGTCACACTACTGCAGGATCTGCCCATTCCTTTCTTGAAAAACCTGACAGGAAATCAATTCAACTTAATATCTGAATGGATTCTTCATGCATTCAGATAAAGAGTTCAGTACACACCCATCTCTGCCAGAGCGACCAATATAATAGTCTGTGATATCTTAATAATTAATTCACCTCCATGTATAAGAGTTTCTGGATTGACTGTACTGGCTGGGCTAAAGTGTAATATTGTGTAATATTGTAAACTTTCTTGTACTTTGTCAACTCGATCTGATTTTATCTTGCATTTGTTTTGGGTTTTTTTTATTTGGAAAATTTTTGTTATACTTTGATTCCAGTGCTGTTGTTAGATTTCTCTCTTTTGGTTTTCTTATGTCATAAAATGGTGGAGTGAAAACAGAAGTGCTTAGTTAACAGTAGTAAAGTTATTTTCTTATTGATTATAAAGGTCTTGGAGTGCGTTACTTTGATAGCTTCAAGAAAAATGTCACCTTTTGCACTCTCTGTCTTTCGACATCTTGCACTTGGGTAATGAGCATCTATATTTTGTGTAAAACAAAGGAGAAACAAAACTAAGATACCAGTCATAAAATTACACACAAAATCCTTCACTGACTCCACAACATGCCTTGCAGAATCTGGGGACTACTTTGGACACTTGAACTGAACTCAGTAATGATGAGCAACGGTATGGGACCTGGAGCAGGAACAAACACATGACAGGTGGTCAGTCACCCCTGGGGTAGCGTTGGAACCCACCTGTCCTTACTTAGATGAGGGTGCAGGACTAATGACCTTGCTGTCAGCATCACAGATCAAGGCTCCCGGAGGACAGACCCCAAGCAGATTAACTGGGCTTCTTCCACCTTGCCCTTTACAGTCCCTTGACATGCTGGTCTATGGTACAGCCATATTTAACAAATTAACAATTGATCCAAATGAGAAAACAATTACTCCAATTAAGCAATTAAGAGCTCAAGGGAAAGGAAGAATAGAAGACTACTGAGAGGGTGGACTTCTGGGGCAGAAAACGCGGACCAGTGAGGCTGCAGACTGAGGAGGGCCGATGTGTCTGGGGGTTTCATTCCAACTTGCCTTTTAATGACCATCGTTGGCTTGACCGCACACATTTAAACATCCCCCACCACGGGTTCTTCCGGGGTAAAGAGATGGGACAACCAGCAGAAACAGCCGCTTCCCGGGATGAGGACTGGACAGCCCTGGATCAGAGAGACACAGGAGCAGGGCTCTGTTGAGGAGACACACCACACCGTTGGAGCACTCTGCGTTCAGTCGCAGGGTGACCAGAAGATCTTCTGAGCAAAATGCATCACGAAAGAGAAGAAAAGAAACAGGTTTTGGGTGTCACACCTGAAGAAGGCCCCACAGCCGAAACGTTGTGTTTCTTTTCTTCTCTTTTCGGCAGGGAATAAACCTTGCTTTGTTCCTTTGCAGCCTGTGCATGCTGACGCAGCTCCCTGCTTGAACTAAAACGCATCACTGTTGAGATGCACAAAGTTGTACTTGTAGTGATGGCAAATTTTTTCCATGACGATAGAATGGCCGTGCTCTGCTGGCCAGACATGGGGCAAAGAGTATTTTATCAGTCACTTTCATGTGCCTGTGCTTTTCAGACCCACACTCCAGATCAGACACGTTCATTAAACGAGATCCTGTACTGCTTTATTAAATCAAGTAGCACTAGTTATTATTAGCTGTTAAGTGTTTTGCATGCGTGTAATCACAAATTAGACTAGAAGCGGTTTTACGCTTGAACAGAGGCTGACGGAAATGAAATTATGAAAACGCAGCAGGGAGCCCTGTCGATCAGCGAACGGAGCCCGAAAGCCTCTGTCACACACAACCCAAACACACCCAGCTCCAAATAAGGTGACCTAGCTCTCCCAGTGCTGGTGTTACGAATAAGCTAAAGCCCTTAGTTTCACATGCTCAATGTCAACAGTGATATAACTTCATCTCTTAAAACAGAGGTACTGCAAATGAAAAATATGCCTTGGGACAGCAGTAGACGTTTCTCTTTTCTGTGTGTCCCTGCTATTGTCCGACATGGCCACTGGGTGGCGGTAAAGCCTTTGCTGTGAAGCGAGAGGCCGTGTCTGCCAGAGCTGCCTTTGACGCACACTAACAGGTATGGATACATTTTGGTGCTCGACTACGTGGATTGCAGATGGACGGATCATACTGACGAGATCAGCTTTGTACAACTGACTCGTATTTCCTGTCGTTAGGCTGTTCTTGTAAACCCAGTCGTACTTCTTGTATGGTAATACATGCCTCTAGTCTGTCTTAGAGTTGTGTACATATTCTCAGACCGGCGATGTCTTTTAAGTAGATTATGTAGTAGACTAAAGTTTTGTGATTTAAAGTTTAAATTGGCTCCCTCACCCTGCAATAGTTAACTCATGTAAAAAATGACATCGGACATAGGCGTATACCGTGCACAGTATTTTATTTCGTTTCATACAAATGTTATACACATAAATGCAACTCTAGTGACAGACTATGGCTGCAGCTACTTTCTTGCCGCACTGTGTGTGACACAGCGACCGGCGATTACGAGTCAAGCACACTCAACCTCACGAAGCGAAAATCAATACCCGGCATCAGAGTGGTGTTCTGGACAGGGGGGAGAGACACAGCGGCTGTTGACCTCTCACAGTGTACCCGCCCGGGCGCAGGTCCGCTTGGAGAGAAATTCCGGGAAAAATGTGCTCGATACTGAACCGGCCAGCGCTGGGCAGGCGCTCAGACACACTTCACGGGCACGCCTTGAAGCAGGTTTTAAAACTGAACCACGATGCAAATATAGTCGGTTCGAAAAACACCGCGGGTGTCAGTTTCTAGGGAGTGCGGAGCATTTGTGGTTTACAACGCCTCTCCAAAAACAACGGAGCCCGAAGAGCTGCTGGTCGAGACTCTGTCATCATAATAGTCCACTTTTAAAAGATCTGCACAGAAAAAAGGTGATTTTCCTTGATACAAGATCCAGAAATCTTCCATTCATAACAATGTGTTTTTAAAAACGATGAGTGATCTTATTGAGCTGCTCAGCACGTATTTGTCCCTGTTGGCTTTGTATTCTCTGCGCGTGTGCCGCGGGCACAGTTTCAGGTCGTACAGGTCTCGTTTATAGCGAATGTCTCTGTGACAGAGGAAAGAAAGTTGTTAAAAATCGCAACAGGGGGCACCGCCGCAGACTGGAGGCGTCATTCAGGGCGGGGTACGCCGAGGCCGAGGCGCACAGGGGGGCGACGCGTCTGCGCCTCCTTGGGGATCACCTGCAGACGGAAGCACAGGTAAGACGAGCGCCTCCCTGGCGTTTTAAAACTGTGGAGGCGGGGACCAGCGCTCATGGTAGTGGTTTCCGGTGTTGGAACTGGAACGCATTTGGCAAACCCACTAAAAATGATTGTATTATTTGCTTTGGTGCTAGCAGTTAATTAAGACCAATTAACCTTTTCCTACGTCGAAGCTTTTATCAGAAAAGCTGATATCTTCGGAAATTTCGAAGAAAAAAACAGCTCTATTTTTAGCTTCATATAAAGCATAGTATATTTTCCATTCCTAAAACTTTAGCTTTTTCTTATTTTACATAGTCTTTGTTTTTTTTTCTTCTAGAAAATACACGTTCTTTATTCTACAAATAAATGTTTACCCACTTGTAGTAGATCGGCTAACATATTCGTGTTACAAAGATTTGCACGTTACCTTTTACCCCAAAACAACATGTAATATTGGTGTTTGTGTTAGGCGCCTGTTTAGCTTGGTGCTGTATTGTATACTGTAGCTTACATTAGAATCAAAATGTTATTAAAATCACCTGTATCAATATGGTATAACTTGCATTAGAACATGGATCTTTACTTATAATACGTCTCTGTGGATGAAATTCAACGCAATGGCTATTGTTAATCATAAAACATGATACGACTACACTACCAGCAGAGGAATAGTGACACGATATACAGGACATGGCTGGTTCCTCTCGGTCCTGTCCGTGTCCGAGTGGGCCACCCTGGCTGTTCGCAGCGCAGACCCACTGACACCGGGCCCCTGTGGTTCCCTAACCCCCCCCCTCGACAGCTCGTGGGGATGGACAGGCCTCCGGGGAGCCCTCTGACCACACACGTGCTGGACACAGCCCGAGGAGTTCCTGCTGCCCGCCTGCCCCTCGGCCTGTACAGACTGGACTCCGGAGCGGCAGGGTGGACCCTGGTGACCTCGGGGTAAGACTTGCCCCCGGGCGTGCCCTCTGTACCTCCTTGACTGCCCCTGACGGGAAATGTGCTTTGCAGGCAGGCCAAGACAAACACGGTACAGAATGCACTTGACGCAGCATGAATCCGTTAACAAGGGCGGCGCAGTGGTGCTTCCCAGCGCTGAGACCCTGGGCTCATTTTCAGACCTGGGGATCTGTCTGTGTGGAGTTTGCATGTTCTCCCCGTGTTTGTGTGCTTTTCCTCCAGGTGCTCCGGTTTTCCTCCCACTGTCCAAAGGCATGTTTGACCTCAGTTTTTAAGAAATTTATTTTTAGTGTCGCGAATAAATACAGATTAAACACAGAAACTGTACAATATTATATGTACCTAAAACAATATAAATATATATTGTATGCACACATTAAGAGAATAATACAAAAACAATATTTTGCTCAGGTCAGGAGAAAAATCAATCATTTTCTGAATCATATAAATAAATACAAGATTGCTTCTTTTAAATACAAGATTACTGTTGTTTTATAAACAAATAATTTTTTTCTTACATCAATTCTCTATTAGTATAACAGTTTTGAAATGTGACCTTTTGGTCTCCATTTTTCACAGATCTTCCTCCTGCCGAAGTCTCCCCGGATCTCTCACATAATTCATTTCTTAATCACAAATGGGTGGGTTAATTGGCTTCTGGGAAAATTGGCCCTGGTGTGTGTGTTTGTGTGCCCTGTGGTGGACTAGATTCAAGTCCAAGGTGTACCCTGCTTTGTGCCTGTTGCTGCTGTGATGGGCTTTAATACACAAAGCTTTAAATAATCCTGATAGATCAAAAGACAGAAAAAAAGTTTGTTGTCAGCGAGTGAAATAGATACCTATAGATACATACATGACTAAATTAAAATATAAAAACCAGTTACTTGTTAAAGCTGATAAAATGGATGAAAGTGATTATCTTGGATGCTCCAGAGCTGTGCAGAACTGCTTCCGCAGTGGGAAATGGGACTTTTCACTGTAACCAGGAATCCTGTGGCTCCCAAATCCTGCTACATGTTTAATTGTTTTAGTGGTTTTCTGATGCGCGATTCACAGCTCAAAACCTCCACCAGGTGTGGATGTTGAGTGGCCTAAGGTTCAGAATACAAGGCCAGTGTCTTAAGAAACTGAAGAACTCCTGGGTGAAAGTGACCTGACGTGCTTGTTGTTTCAGAGCCACCAATGACGATGGACGATGTCCAGGCCTGATAACGAGGGATGCTTTCCTGTCTGGGATGTACAAGATGCGTTTTGAAACCGGGCAGTACTGGGCAGGTCTAGGAGAGACTGGTTTTTATCCATATGTGGAGGTAAGTCATGTTAGAAAATTCCCTCCTGGAATCTGGCATCACTACTGGAAATTAGACTCTCATTGAGAAACGCACAACTGACATAATGAAATGTTATGTTTCTTGTCAAGGTTTTCCTGAAGTTACAGAGATACAGAGCAGCCCTCTCATGTGAATTTCATTAATGTCATCTGTCTGACCCAAAGAGTCGCTTGGAAACAGTTAAGAAATTCCCATTTTCTAGTCCATGCATGTTAGGGAATCAGTTAATTCAGATTAGGTTATTAGATGCTGTTCATGGAGGTGAACTAATTTTAATCCACACCACCTGTTCAGTGAGCTAGATTTCTATTTTATATACTGGAGGAAGTTCAGTTTTAATCTTGCAGAACACGTTTTCTAATCAAAAAACCTTTAGTGAAAAATTGGTTGCATTAAAATGTAAAATGGAAGGTTTTTTACAAGGCACAATTATGCTTCTCAATCTTTGGATGGAAATGGAATTCACAAAATGAACCAAAGTCCACTGTGTGGTGATTTTTCATCACTGTAGTCCAAGTCGAGATACCTTTTGATGCGGACCAAATGAATTTCTTGACATGAGACAGGCAGTGCTCACGATTAGAAGCCCTTTATTCCAAGATGTTTCGACAGCCACTTCTGATTTATGTAGCTCCTTTGTGTCAGTCCACTGCATTTGCAGGGAATAAATGATCACAGCCAATTCATCATTGCTAATGGTGGAGTTGTGAATTAAGTGGTAAAGCAGAACTAATAGGAATAAAAGAAGAAGAAGTCGTTACTCCCCCTCAAAAGAATCAGGCAGATTTGCTTTGCTCATTTTTTTCAGTGTTGTAGTAATTTAATCCTCATCCTCACAAGAGTGTGTGTGTGGGCATGTTTGTGAGCATGTGATGAATAGACAAGTACAAGGCACAAGGCCAGACCACTACATGCAGCTGAGAGACAGCTCTTGATGCGACAGTGTATCTTTGGGCTGTGGGAAGAGACTGTCAGATTACTGACGTACTGGTAGGTCAGTTGGCTTCTTTGAATGGTGTGTCCGTGTGTCTGCCCGGCAGTGGACTGGTGTCCTGTCCAGGGTGTATGTGTCTGTGTGTCTGAATGGCAGTGGACTGGTGTCCTGTCCAGGGTGTGTGTGTCTGTGTGTCTGAATGGCAGTGGACTGGTGTCCTGTCCAGGGTGTGTGTGTCTGTGTGTCTGCCCGGCAGTGGACTGGTGTCCTGTCCAGGGTGTGTGTGTCTGTGTGTC